GGTGCCCTGCAAGAGGGGACCATGACAGCTGTAGCACAGCATGTGAAGTACTTAGTGGAGTTTCCATCAGCTGGAAATTAAAGCAGGAGAGAGTTGAGTTTCGGAGACCTCCAGCATTCAGCTCTCCACAAGCTGTGTCAGGGTCTCCTGGATGCCTCCATCCAGCCTTGCTAGTGTCACCTATCTGTATCTGCAGCTGTTTGCCCGTTGTTAAGGTTCCCCAAAGTGATGGAGAAAATGTTTGGGTTTGCCTTGAACTTGCAGTCACTGCAGTTCTGCAGAAAGCTGCTCTGCACAGAGGGGCTGCAGTCCTGTGAGCCCTGGGTACCAGGAACAGGCCCCTGGGTGTGCCTGAGGGGGAAGAGCACACAGGAACATTGTGACCAGATGGAGTCTTGTGTTCATAATAACACTGTCAGCTTCAAGTACCACAAGTTCACAGCCCTCAAAATGCAGATTCGCATTGTTAAGTAAACAATGTTTAATCCTCTAATTTAACATTAGATTTCTTTTTTTGTTTTTCTAATTTGCTGTTGAACTTCACCTCCAAATGTGCATAGCAACTCCCCCAGGTTTATTGAGACACTCAGTATTCACCATATCAAAATCTACAATATCAGTTCTAATTCTAATGCCAGTTCTCCCCCTTCTCTCTCAGTTCTTTCCCCCACCACACACACCATGTGGACAGACTGATCTCCTCTCTGCACAGCTCTGCCACATCTGTTCGTTTCCATCCACCAGGCTGAACTGTCTCTGCCAGGGAAGCGTGCAACCACTGCTCCAGAGGCACACAAAGAAGCTGCCAGAGATAAATGGCTTTGTGAACAGAGGCTTTTCTGATAGACTTCAGATCTTTAGAGCACCCTGGTGTCATTAGAAGCCAAGGTCACTGGTTTGTATTTCTTCCCATACCACTGGAGGATGCAGAATTTGATTTCCTGGAAAACTGGCAGAACAAGGAGCCTGCCATGTTTCTGATTACAGGGTAGAAACCTCCTTCTATGCTGACAGGTGAAATGTGTGAGCTCAGCTCAACTCAGCTGGTGCTCAGCAAGGCAAAGCCCCCTGACTGCCCCACAAAATCCATCCAGCATTTGGGTTTCATCCACCCACCATGGGGATGAGGGGTGTTTGAGAGAAGATTTTGTTCCAGCAGACTGAGTAAATGAGTAAATTGCTGTAGGTTAGGAAATCCAGACATGGTGGAGGATGGCACAAACTCCAGACATGGTGGAGGATGGCACAAACAGAACCACAGGGGTGTAGAGGGGCAGTGGCTCTGCTGCCCTTGATAGAAAAGGGTGTAGTGAAAGAGTTGGAGGGGGGTCAGGCCCTATGTCACGTGCCAGAGGCTATATAGCCACGAAGGGGAAGAGAAGGAAAGAATTCAGTGAAATTCTGTGGGTTAATGATGAAGGGAAGAACAGGGTTGTGGAAGAGATGGACCCATATGGCAAACCAAAGTCCAAATTTCTGGCAAGATATAGTTCAGAGCTCCTGCCACCACAAAGTGTGCTCACCATGGATACAGGCTGACAGTGCGCCCTTGATTACTTTTTGCTATGAAATGGTTTTGCTCTGACTGCAGTGATGTCACTTTGCCTGAGCTTTCCAGCATGCTCTGTGCTCGTAGCCAGCTCAGGCACTGCCCTGCCCTTCAGCAACACCTGTGTTTTCGCACTGTATGAACCAATGGCCATGTGTTTATAAGGCTCACAATTCTGTCCCCTCTTTTGTAATTTAGGAGCACTCCATAGGGTGCCTCTGAAGGGTGAAGGGCAACACACTGCTACATGTTTAAAAAAAAAATAAAAATGCATTGTCACTTCTGCACTTCGTGTCCTATGAAGCTTAAGATGTATTTGGAGAAAGAGTCAGAGACAAATTTCTGAGCAGCCAACAGATTTCATCTGACAGTTGCTGCATATAGCATTTTTTTCTGACCCACTCATCTGCTGTGCCAGAGGTCACTGCCTATCTACAAAGATAGACTCTGGCAGATCTTTCCAGTGCTTTAATATAACTCTTGGGGAGGTTTAGATGTCAGACACTGGCTAGGCTTTGGCACCTCTGCTAAAACTATGTTCTGCACTGTCATTTAGTGGAAGAGCAAACCTTAGAGATTACAGGGAAATTCTGTTGACATATCCTGAAAGTAAATGGAAATATTGCCGTGTTTGACCCATGTGTATCTTGAAGTGCTTCAGAAAAACAACAGCAGCCCTTCAAGAGCCCTGCAAACCTTCCAGCACTGAAAACCTGGCATGCCTCTTTGTCCTCTGGGAATTTAATAAAGATGTATAATAGCATAGACCACCCCAGACTGTTTCAATCTTCCCTTCAATCTCTAAGACTGAACTCTTGTATGTTTAATTTAAAGGTATTTGTCCCATGAGCAAAATCTGCTGCCAGAAGCATTAGTGGTTTTTCAAAGGATGTTCCTTAAATATGAATGAGCTGAGCCCCTGTGATCATTTTAATTGATCCAGCAGTGCTTGCAGCTAAAAGTAAAGCTGCCACCTTTCATGGCAGACCAGACCTTTTCCCTTGCTGCCTAATATTTGTATTCCTGACATTTTACAAAAATAGTCAGTCTTGCTCAGCCTGGGAGATTTCTGTAAATTCATGATCACAGCAGTTAACTTGATTCTGTCAAAACTGGTATATATGCTGTAAGATATTGCCGCATAGAAAAATGAGAATTTTTTCTTTTAAAGATGGTGAGTGATTTTGAATAAACAAAATGTTATTGATGCCAAAACACTTATGGGCATTATACCATGAGGACAGGCAGCAATGATGGAGAGATAAACCATCTAGGCTCTTTTAGGCTCCTTGTCCTAGTATCTAAAAGCTGACCAAGTATGAACTGACTTTTAAAGCTTTTTCAGGGAAATACAGTCCTGAACACTGATAGACTTCAGTTTCACCTACAGACTCTCCACGAATAAATTATTGGAGTTTTGAGTCAAGCTGGCAGACATCAGGGGCTAAGTTTAAAATCTTTGCAAGAGCACTTTAGAAAGAGGGTGCCCATATTTCCATGAACAGCTGCATTGGTTCCCAAATACATGCAGAGTGTCCCTATGGTCATAGAATGGGTATTCTTTTGTCCACAACACATTTGGCTGAAGAACAAATCTCTTTATATACAACTTCATATCTATTATATATATATATATATATATATTTATATTGTCTCTTTAATTACAACTTCTAAAAAGCACAAAGACCAAAACCTAGAATCCCACTGTTATCCATTGAGAAGTCATAAAGGGAGCTCTGGGAAAGGGCTGCCAATAGGAATGGGAAAAGATCGTTCATTCCTTGTGCCCATCTGTGCTTTAAATATTCTAACAGGCCATGGGATGCAGTGGAAATGTTTCAAATATGTCTACATCTCTACTAAGAAGCCAAAAGGCAAAAAGAAACTTATTTCACAGAGAGCACCAAACAACCCTGAAAATAATTTTCTGTCATTTTAGGTCATGACTGTGCTCAAACTTGTGGTGTAGAAGTTTCTCCTCCAGGTGGAGTCATGAAGTCAGATATGGCTTTAAAAATACAAAAAGCATGATCAGGAATTATATGACAGTGTGAAATTTCAAGATATCCCACAGAGTCACAGAATCACAGAATATGCTGAGTTGGAAGGGACCCACAAGGACTGCTGAGTCCAACTCCTGTCCCTTCATTAGACTGTTTCCAAGAATCACAACAAGAGCCTGAGGGCATTGTCCAAACACTTCTTGAACTCTGTCAGGCTTGGTGCTGTGACACTTCCCTGGGGAGCTGTTCCACTGCCCAACCAGCCTCTGGGTGAAGAATGCTTTTCTGATATCTAGCTTAAATTTCCCTGAGACTTCAGGTCATTCCCTTTGGTCGTATCACTGGCCACCACAAGGAAGAGATCCTTCCTCTGCCCCTCCTTTGTGCATCCCATGAATTTAATAATTGATGATCTTATTATCAGGTACTCCCACACCTCACATGAGCAACTCCATCCAGTGTGTGGGAAAAGAGTACAGTAACAAAGGAAAAAAGTGCTAAAAAGGAACAAATATTAAGGCTTGCTTACTCTTGGTTTCTAGCTTCAACAACAGAAGTAATTAAAGTGCATCAATCAGGTCTTTTTTTTTTCTGTGATAGTGTTTTTAACAGCCTGCAAATTCCTATGACTATAATCAGCCTGATCCCACTGTGCTCCCTGTCAGATACCACAATGGCTATAATCTGGCACCTGCTTGGTACAAAACTTGGAAGTGAGCCTGGGTGCCCACAGAATAAAAATTAAGCGTGTTCACTGCTGAGGGAGAGGATCAGAGCGAATTTAGGAACACTGGTGACAGCCTTTATTCTTCTCTCTCAGCAAGAGAGTCCTGGCTACTACAGGTCAGAAAACACTGCTATTGTTCTGCCTTAAACCTCCCTTTTCCAGATGCAGAATTTCACTTTCAGATGGAGCCAGTGTGGGGAAGTGTTTCCAATAATATCAGCTACCCTACATCTCTCTCTTCTGGACTGCCCAGCATGCCCCATTGTCAGACTGTTCAGAAAGCAACAAAATTTCTTGCCTTGACCAGCTGGAAAATCCTCTTCCTCATGCCTCACTTACAGAGATGCATCACCTAGAAAAGCAATGGGTTTAGATAACCTATGCTTTTTCATCCTGCCAAATTCACTTTTTTTCTGCAGCGCAGAATCCAGTGGATCCCACTGATAGGGAGGTGTCTTAAGCAGATTTGTCTGTCTCTGATGCTGATTTGTCTGTCTCTGATAATGATTGTTCTCCCCAGTAAATTGCTGTGGTATCTCCAATAGAGACATCTCTGCAGCTGTACAGAAATCTCTCACTGGCTTAGTGAAGTACAGCCACTTACAGTACAACTTTATTCACATAAGAAAGCATTTACTCATGGTCTACGTTCACTTTGAAATTCCTTATTGGAATGGGAAACTGTTAAACAGCAATCTTCATTGCTGTCCAGTTAAACATAAACAGACCCATGAACTGGATTCTTGTACACAGAGTGCAAGCTTTAATTAATGAAAACTGAAAGGAAAGTGATTTGTAGCACTAAGTCTGCACATTCCTGCAAATGCTGTTGTTGCCACTTTGTGAGACACAGAGACGCTTGAACAGCTTGGATGCTCTGGTTTGTCTGGGAAGAGCCTAGCGTGCTGTGGGCTGTCTTGCAAAGAGATAACAGTAACAACAGGGACTGGCATCTTCACAGTCAGAGATGCAATGAGAAGTCAGGAGTTACTGGCTCCCGGTGGTGGGCCTGGCTTACATCTCCTTTCACAGAGCCCAGAATTGTCAGGACCTAAAAAATGGAACAGCCCAGATGGGTTGCATCAGCCTCTCACCTGCACCTAGCTGCCAAATATGAGGTGTCCATGCTACCAGGTAAGGTTCATTTTATATTGAGTGAAGAGAAGGGTCATATGCTTCCCAGATCACATCCAGCATCATTCTGAGAGATATTAGGGATGAGTACAAGAACAACTTTGCAGGTTTTGGGGGCAATTGTGTTTTACCTGCCTTTCTTGACACAGGGATATTAATTTATCATTGGTCATAGTGAGAGTGCAAACAGGGACAGTATGCACTAAAAGCTACCCGGGTTTGTGTAGCAACATACAAAAAAAAAAATTCAGGGCTGCATGTTTCTATCATGTTTACATAATGTGGCTGATAAAGGAATAAAATCCTTACAATTAAAAAGGATAATTATGACAAAGCTTTATAAGATATAGACAGATAGTGAACAGTGAATTAGCATTGAATGTTAGTGCACAGGAAAAGGCAGAAACTAATGAAGGCCTGTCTGTGGTCACAATCCAAAGCGGTTTGCCTGTTTCATTCTGGGAAAGCAATTCTGTGGCTTATTTTTTGACAGCATCCTTTCTTTTACTCCCAAAATGACAGCTGAAGAAAATCATAGTGAAACAATATCAAAGGTTGCTCAAATTTAATCTAATGCTATCTAGCAGGCAGAGGTATAAGTACTGAAGGAAGCAGCAGCATTGTTTAAGCCAGGCTGAACAAAGCAGTGTGTGTCCTTGGTGTCTTTGGAGCAGGGGCTTTTCCAGCTCTGCCTCTCCAGCGCAAACTGCAGCCTGCAGCTGTGATTTCTCAGTGTAGGGAAAGAGAGCAGCTCCATGGAGAGCCAGTAAATGCCAGCCCAGCTTGCAGGCTGGCCAGCAAATGGACACACGCCCAGGGTTGTGTCAGGGCCGTGCCTGGATCTCTGGCACCCCACAGAGGCACATGGATCCGGGAAGGGAGATGCCAGCGCCTGCTCTGTGGCAGCTCAGTAGATGATTCCTTCTGGTTCCAGCAGCAAGTACTTCTTCATGGACAGAGGAATGGACAGCAAGGGGACTTGTCGATGGCACCTTTCTGATAATATTGCCCGAATAGCACATCTGCATAAGTGCATCAGTGACCGTGGTGAATTGCTGCACACAGTGAACAAAGAGTCATAGAAATCCTGGTGCCGCTGGAAAAAAAACAACCACAAGTGTGTTTTAGGGCAGCCAGAATATTTGGAGTAAGGATTTTTGAATTAAAGGTATAATTATGTCAAAGCATATAGTTTGTCCCCCAGTTTTGCCTTTTGACCACATATTTTCCTCTTTAATCTCTTACTTTTCATTTAAATTCTCCCTTTCATTTGCAGATAACTCATCCTGTTCACAAAATCTGATCCATGAAACAGAACTTAGAGGTACGTAGTAATACCTGACTAATATGGCACTTTAAAAATATTTGGTGACTTAAAAAAAAAAATATAGATATACATATTGACAAATCTGAAGAAAAAGCAGTCACAGCCAGAATCTTTTCACTGGCTGACTAGAGGGACAGCTGAGTTCCTGCTGTACCACTCACAGAGGGTGCTCCAAAGGATAATGTTGCAATTAAAATATCAAAAATATGTCTTTTTTGCAGTGTGTGATATGCTTTAGTCAAATGAGAGATATTAAGAGGGAAAGCCCCCATCCTCTGAAATGTTCTTCTCTTTCAAAACTGTTCTTTCTTTCTTATGGTTTGGTATGGGTTATACAGATAATAAGCCTGGATTTTACTCAGTTGTAACTCATTGAGAGCTTACCTCCAAGACATCCTCAGGTATGGCTGCTTTCCACTTAGATGTTGATTTGATGTGTTCGTAGGAGTTGACAACCACCTCCACAGCTCTGGGGTGGGAATGACAGGCTTGTAGCACCTGCAGGCAGGATGCATGGAGACCATGAGTACCACCAGGGAGCTGGGGCTAGCCTGGGTGCTTGGCACTGCACAACAGCAAACTGAGACACAGCCAAACAATTGTGAGAGGATAAAGTTGGAGATGCAAAAGACACAGGGCCCCTCCACACCTTACTGCAAGCACAGTAAGAAACTCCAGGCTCATCCACAGTTTAAGACCATACAGAAATGCTACCTTAGATCTCCACAGCTGTCTAGATGGGGTGGGCTTTATCACCCAAATCTTGTTCATAGCTGGCTTGAGTGACACAACACCAGGCAAAGCCATGCACAAAAATTCTTGCTTCAGCACATGCAGCTCATGAACACAGAAAAACCCCATCATATGAATCAAAAATGCATTGTTAAAGAAAGATTTTAAAATATGACCAGAAGAAACTGTTCAGAAGTAAGGCTTTCAAGGCACCTGACACAACTGCTCTTCCCAGTGATTTTATCTCAACAGGAAAAAAACCCCAGTCTATTATCACTCATATGCAGGGGATAACATTGCATTCACCCAATTTCATCCCATGCAGTCTCCAGGTTTCACAAACAAAACTGCAGAACATCCCTCTGGGATAAATAACCTACATTTTTACAGATGGGCAAATGATAGTTTGGAAGAGAATCTCGCTTCATGCAATAGGATGCAGGAAGAGGAGATTTCAGACATTGCTCTCAAATACCCTCTAGGAGACTAAGCATTGTTCTGCTACAGACAGAACCTGCTCACCCTGGGCTCAGGAAGGCACATTTAAAAAAAAATTGGCATTTTATTCAAAGGCTTCTGGTTGCTTGGCTTGTTAAAATTTACATATACAGTTGGGGAACTGCACACTGTTGCTTAGGGTACTGAGATGAGAGAGAATAGGTCCGGACTTCAGCAAGCTTAGTTAGTACTCTGATATAACAGGACTCTTAGGTACTCCTGTCAGTGTCTTGGGCTTTGCAGGTGTTTAAAAACTTTTTAGGATGGATCCTGCAATACTTTTTTTTTTATTTTTTTGGGGTTTTTTTGTTTTGTTTTGTTTTGTGTTTTGTCATCAGCTATGAGCCCAGGCCCAGTACCTCTCCTTAATTCTCAAATTTCCTGGGAATAATCCAAAACTTTATTGAGAAGCATTTAATTTTGAATAGATTTGAGTAGATTTTAAAATGTCAGATGTGACAAACTGAATCAAGTGGTCTCGTTGCTAATCCTTGGTGGAGACCATGAAATATGCATTTCATATAACTCAGTTAAACCTGTATGAAGCCATTGGTTTGACAAAGGGATGTGGGTTCTCTGAAATGGGAAAGTGAATCTGCTCTGAAAAATTAGGCTTCAACCAGCATTTAGAGTTTGGCATTTCAGGTTGGTTAAGAGCAAAAATTAGATGTGTGTCTGGTTTCTGGTACAGGCAACTGTAATTTCACTTCAGTTAAGTGATACCACTCTTACAGCAGGTCATCTCACAATGTTTTGGGCATTCTGGGCCCACATTGACAGGACTCCAGCAAACTCAGATAGCACTAAATCCTGAGGTTTGGATCTCTCATCCCGTTCCTGTTCAAGCCACCACCTCTCTCCATACCCCTACTGTACGAAGACATCCTTAACCTTGTGGAACTGCAGAGGGTATATCCTAGCTGCTCCATGATTCAGTAGCAGCTGGTAGCAGATGTCTGGCTGAGCAGCTGGCCGCACAGATGTCACTTTTATGATGTACTGTAGGGGTGCACAGCCATTGACATCCATGATGTTTGCTTCTGCTCCTGCCTCCAGCAGCATATGCAGCAGGACGTGATCGCAGTTCCAGGCAGCTTTGTGGAGTGCTGATTTGAAATCCTCATCACGAGCATTCACTTCAGCTTTATAGTCTAGGAGCATCCGACAGATGAGGTGATGATCCTGGCTGTATATCTGATCCTTATAGTGGAGGGCCCAGTAGGCTGCACAGGCCAGGGGAGTCTCCATGTAGGCATTGAGAGCATCCACCTGTGCTCCCTGTTCCACGTAAAAGGCCACAAGCTCTGGGACACCCAAACGTGCAACGACGTGCAGAGGAGTCTCCTCGTCTTTGTTGTTTGTTCTTATGTTCACATTTGCTCCTGCCAAAGAAAGATGAAGGGGGAAATGATGGCAATGAAACACTTGTTTGGCCATCTCTCCGTATGGGCCCTTCTTCCCAAGGAAAAGGTCAGGGTGGGCAGCTGGCATGAAAGATGTGTAAATGCAAACAGCATGGATCCTGCATTAGTTAAGTCTCCAGGGAAACTCTTAGAAACTCAAGGTTCTTGGATCCAGCTTCAAATGTGATATGCTGGCCCCAAGCTGGAAGAACTTATCTGATCATTCTATTTCAGAGCAGCATGCAAGCCCAGATTTCCGTGTAAAATGCTTTTTCCTATAAGTTGAGAACTGGTGGAGAAAGGAGAGCGTTACTCCTGCTCCAGAGAGCAGCCCTGCTCCGCTCTGCACCCTGAAAACACTCTCTGCAGCACCTCGCTAAGGCGAGCCTGGATGAAAGGACATTTCATAACAGATCCGGGGTATTAGAGATACTATATATTAAAGAAGCATTGCCAGTGTCCCCGGTGGAGGGTGGGATGCCGGTTCCAAGGCGCTGCGGAGCGGGTCCCGCAGCTGGAGCAAGAGCACCATCTGCCGAGCGGCGAGCCTGCCCGGCGGGGACAGCGGGCTCCGGGCCGCAAAACCCGGCTGCTAATGCTGCTAAGCCCTGCTGGGTGTTAGCCCTGTCCATGTCCCTGAGCCGGCACCGGCAATCCAAGTTTGGAGTGCTAACCAAAGGTGGGATCAGCACGGCTTGCCCTGCCGCCCCAGCCAGAGGGGAATAAACCGCAGTGACCTGGATGGAGCCCAAGGGACACCACTGAGCGGGGACAGCAGGTGAGAGATGCAGCTCGGAAATCTGGGGCAGGGACATTATCTGACACCCTGGCTTCAGCTCTTGCAGGGCGCTGCTCTGGGAAAGTGCACACCTGGCACGGTTTGCTCCAGACCTTTCCCATTCTATTTGGAGCCTCTGAATTCAGCTCACATGGAAATCAGAGTTTAAAGGGTGCTTTGGGAGGAAGGGTGGCTTTTAAAGTACTATTATTCTGTTGTTGATGGGTGGGTGGAGAAAGCCTGCAGAATACATCCTTTCACTTCCATTCATCCTATACTGTGTTTCATAAGAGTACATTTGACTTTTAAGCTTTTCTATGCTAGCAAATTCAGCTCCTGCTGACAGGACTGTTTGCTCTGGGCAGGGTACAACTGGCAGCATTTATTTTCCTTTCTACCAAACAAAATAATATGTATCTTTCCAGCAGAAGAAAAGCAATGTTGTTATTCATTTATGACTGCAGATTGTCTTGCCCACAGAGCACGGACTTTGCACTTGGGCTCTGCATCTCAGGAAAAGCTTTCAATAACAACACATGTAACAAAACCAACCCAAAATCATTTGTATTGCCATGGCACAGTGTGATAAATAGAGGAGTCTCTCTGTAACTAAAGACTTGAACTGTGTTTCTCTTACTGTGTCCTGTGTCAGTACCCTTCTGTTCAGAAAATAGTGTGTGACAAATATGTTTATGGAAGAATTACATCAATTCATATCCTCATTTGTTGTAGACAAGCTGCAGCACCATGTACCTTACTTTGGGAAAACAAAAATCTTATATAACACTCTTTTTTTTTCCTCCAGGCATGAGCTTGGCTGCATCCATGACAAATGAAAAGAAAGTATGAAAACTGCATCAAATTTTTCAAGGCCAGATCTCAAAAAACAAGTGGTTGGAAAAATTTTACTCAGGTCCAGGAAATTTTAACAAGAAAGAAGATGAGGGGTACCCTTTCATGTGAAAATAGATCAATAGTAAGCCTAGATGAATAAGACAGAAAAAGCCCCAAGAGAAATAGAAACTCTGTGATTCAGAGGAGCTCTGCTGCTGATGGACTGATTGGGCAGTGGACTGGAGGCACTGAAATGGGAAACAATCTTGGAGTAAGGACCAGTGGCCAATGAAAGGAAAATATAAATGAGGCGAGGAAACAGAATGGGAGAAATTTCCTCTGATCAAAGACATGAGGACAAGGAGTCTGAGATGGAGACATGAGTCACCTGTGGGTGGAAGGGATAAATACACATCTACTTTGAAAAGTTGCCTCCTAAGAGAAAGGCCAGGCCATGCCCACCATCTTTGTCCATGCCATGAGAGGTGCTCCAGAGCTTTACCTTACCTCTCCAGAGCAGCTGCTGGGCACAAGGCATGGAGGTTCGTGTTGTACAGAAGTGCAGGGGCGCCTGCCCGCTCATAGAAAAGCAGTTCAGCTTAGCTCCGTGGTTGCAAAGGATCTTGAGACACTCAACATTTGCCATTTCACAGGCTATGTGGATGGCAGCTTTTCCATTGGGCCGGCAGTTGATTGTAGCTTTGTGATTGAGGAGGACCAAAAGACTCTCCAGATGTCCATACATGACAGCTAGATGAAGTCCAGTTGCCCAAGATATTTTTAATTTGTAGCTGGGAAGCCAGTACCCTGTACAAAGTGAGAATATGTTACCAGTCTTGGCAAAGACTTTTCTTTGGACTGTTCACCTACTGAGAATAATTGAAGGGGAAGAAAGGGTTGGAGTTTTAATGTAATTTACTGTAATTTCACCAGCATAATGCACACAAAGTTCTCTCAAGCATAACTTCATTAAGCACTGTTACTATGTGTGCTGAATAGCCTGCCTTTTGGGAAGATAATTCCCATGTAGATGTACTCCAAAAGAAGCTATTAGACTTTTTTTGTGACTGGTATAGATTAAACAAAAAACAAAAACAAAAAAATTGCTTAGAGAGTTTGAAATGCCACCAGCTAAAACATATGGGGGAAGTGGGATCTCCAGCCTGCCAATAGCTGAACAAAGGTGGCATTGGAATGAGACAACAGCATTTACTTAGGACAGTGACTCAACAGACAGCTCATCCTACTGTTTCTGTGTGGGAGACGGCAGGATCTTGCATGTCAGGGGCTGGATTCAGACCTCCAGGGATGCATTACACATAGATGACCCTTGGCAATACGGCTGCAGCTGTGTCAGGGACCTCCTGCCAACTGCTGCCCTGAGGAGCACAGAGTGAGGAGATTGGATGCTGATGTAAGTTAGGCTGAAGAGCCAAATAGAAGCAGTGACACCTTAGCATGAAATTTGGCTGCAAAATGTTTGGATTTTTCTCAGAAAATGTCACAATGATTTTTTTCTTTTGTTTATTTACAAACAGGTGTAAGGCCAAATAACACATAAATACTTGTTCCCAAGTCAGGACTATATGCTTAATGACTGCACAGATACAGTCTCAGAAGTGATTACTATCACCACTTGTTTGAGATAAGTAAAATATCATAATGATGTGCAGAAGGGCAAGAGAAGTCTAAATATGTTTCTTTATATACAGTACCTTCATCTTAGCTAGAATGTGACTATGAAATTCTCTGAGTTTGATTTATCTATTTCTCCTTTTACAATTGCCTGGTTGACATCTGTTATCATGTGGAAAACACACACAAAAAAAATTAGAGACATATAGAGAGGTCAAATTAATTCAAACCTTCTTTTTTTAGTCTCTAGTTTAATGCAGTTTTTCAACACTAATGTCATATATATACAGTTTTTACAGTATTCATTAGGTACAAGCAGGAAGGAAACAAAGTGCTGGTGGCAGGGAGAAATGGATTCAAATTCTTCTTCCCTCTTAGATAAATTACAAGTATATTTTCAGATAGTGGGCAAGAAACTGCAGACCATGTCATCTACTCTAGGACCAAATTTTTGGGACTTCCAAACCCAGTTCTCAAGGAACCCACACTGTAAATGGCAAGAGCAGCCCTGAGGCCCCAGCGTGCCCGAGCAGGGTGACAGCCTCCTCTGAGGACACTCAACCTGCTGACTGCGCAGCTTTCACTGGCAACCCTGTTAGGGCAACCTTCTCATCATAAACCCTCAGACCAGGCACAGACAAGGTGGGCTGTATCCCAAAGTCTCTGCATATAGCAGAACAAGCTTCTTAAATCCCCTCCCTGTCCAACTGCACGTGTAGTGTTCCCCCTTGTTACCAGTGAGCTGTGAGGTACTTCCAGCTTATCCCACAAAGGGCTGGGTCTCCCATTTATGGCCAGATATAAGCAATAAACTATACATTAACTGCAGGAAAGTGATATTAAATGCCAGGTTATTGCTTTTTTATAGCCACAATTCTCCTGCCTGAGTCCACAATATATTTCTGTTGCCTGTGCTGCTTGCAGGTGAGTTGTGCTCAGACATTCCCAGGGAACATCTCCCATATCCTCTGCCCAAACCTGTCGACATCTCCGAGCTCAGAGGGACAGGGACAGACGCTGAGCTGGAAGCAGATGTGGGCCCCATGGGAAACCTCATTCAGCTTAGTTGTTTCTTTGGTTAGTAACATAAAAAACCCATGGTGCAAGCAACATCAGCATCTTTGAGAGCTCTCATCCTCTTTGTAAGAGAGGAAGAAAAGTCACTCTGTCACCCCTGACATCTCTTTTCCACTTCATTGCTAAGGGCTAAGGCAAGGCTCAGACTGTCAGAATGGTGGGGTGGTAAATTTTTCTCTCCCCTTCATCCTCAAGGAAATCCTCCTTTCATATTCATATTTCACAGTTATCTATCATTCAGAACAAAATTAAAATTTACACAAAAGTTGATAGAAGTGTTTCCCGCCTTTCAGAAAAAATGAATACAATACTATGATTTAGGCCATAAGGATACATTTTCCTCCGTCTCTACTTTTTGGAAAACAGAATTCTGCAAAAGAGACTAGTTAATGATTGCAGTCAATTGATCTGTGATTAATAATCTTTTCATTAATCCTGTAGTCTCAAACCACAGTCAGAATGCATTTTAGTCTGCTGAGGACAGAAGAAGATAAACTCAGCACAGTGTAGCTTAGTTCATACACTGTCCCTTGGGGAAGTACATCATGACTGCACCATCCCCACCCTGAAGAAATCAAAAGAGCAGGAACCAATCATTAAAGAAGGGGTAAACACAGGAAAAGAGAAGAGGTGAGATAGTCCCTTCTTTTTGCACAGAAGAGAAAGTGCACTTGCTGTGCTGCTGCTTTCGGAGGTGTTTATCTCCACATATGATTAACTTCTGGCAGAGACTGATCATTACTGCTTTCTAAATACAGAAGAAGAGTCTGTTGGCAAGTGGGTCATGAAGTATGTGGATTTGAGCAAAGAGAAAACTTGGTTTTTTGCTTTAAATTGTAAGGTTTTGGAAACTCAGTGTCTGGCTGGGAAATGGTTTGGGTTTTCTACACTCTAAAACAGATGTTGTGTTGATTGTTCTGGTTGCTTTTTTCCAGATTATTTTTCTGTTTTGATAAACTAGCACATCCTCATTTTCTGTCATTTGTAAAAATAAACCTTCTCCCATCCAGCAACATCCAAGGTCCACAGTATTTCCTTAGTTCCCTTGAGCTATGGAGAATCCACCTTACTTCCATTGAAAATAGAAGACAGGGAATATTTTATGTTTCTAAATAGTCTTTATATGTGAATGGATTAATGCAAGAAATGTATACACCCCCTTTTAGCCTGCATGTGTCTATTCTGGGATTTGCACCTGATTTCTCTGTGAGGAAATGGCAAAGGGTTCTCTTCCTGGAGTCTCCTGCAGCTGCAGCACCAAGGCTCAGGCTGGGCTCTGGCCTGCCCTTCACCAAGCCCACACAGCTGATAAGCTCCCCTGCTACAGTGGCCCTGGCCATGTGAGCCTGCTGAGACAGTACTGCCTGTGGATCAGCTTCTGCTGCAGCTTCAGAAGAGGTAAAAGGCCACAGCTCCTCGAAAATCACTGAAACCCCTCTACTTCCTGTCTGGTGAATGCTGCCACATTTACCTTGTTTGTAGGATGCCAGAATCAGGTTTTCATCTTCCACTTCAAACACTGTGTCCACGTCTATTTTCTTTTGGCTCAAGAGCTCTTCCAGTGTTTCAAAGGCATTGGACTTCAGGGCTTCAAGAAAAGCTTTTTTCACCAACTTAGCAGCTGCAGCTCGAGTAATTTTCCCCTCTGTGCTCTCTCCCTCTCTGTATGTCTCCTCCAAATCCATTTCCAAACGTATCTGTTTGTGCTGTGAAGAGGGGCACACTGAGGTCCCTACAGCACTGTTGCATGCTGAAGTTTCTGAAGACCAGAAGGTAATTTTATCACTCAGTCATGCTGATCTGCTTGTTCTATTTATATGAGGAGCATTTCGGGCATCGAAATGCCACTCTTAGATATCACCACGCTCTTTTGATGAAAGCGAGGACAGACACACTGGCAATTAAAACAAAATAAGAGTTATCTCCATGGGCTTCATACACATTAAGCTTCATTAACCACCTGATTACCTTCTGGTCCTGCCCATACACTTACATTAAAAGACACTAGTTCTGGGTGTTTTTTCTCAGCTGGAGAAGCACCCACACTCCCTTTCAGAGTTGCCATGGCTGATTATTGGCTGCAGTGGGATAGGATGCTTTGCCTACAGATGACTTTTAACTAGTGCAATTCAGGGGAAAAAAAAAAAATCTAAAAAATCTGCAAGGCACTCTCCATGTGGGAGGTAACCCACTCTTCTCCAGGACAGCATCCTGCTTGCTGGTGCTGAGTTCAGGGGAAACAGGCAGTTCTGCTTGGAAGGAGAAATGCCAGCACAAGGGGCCTGCAGGGCTGTACAGCTGCATCACAGGATGGGGGATCTCATACATTACAGGGGGGTTGTGTGTGAATTGACTCAGCTGCAAGCACAGGAGGCTTCATGGGTCCATAGGCTCTTCTTCCCCTGCTCACCCTTCATCTAAATTCAGAAGTTCTCTCTCACAAGCCCGTCACCCACTGAACACTGCCCCCTCCCTGCTTTTTCCTGCAGTCTTTGCCAGCCCCATTCCTGTACTGACAGCAGTTAGAGGATGAAAACCCACACGTAGCTAGCATGAGTTGCTGCCATGCATTACCTAGAAGTGGTTCACACCTGCACCCACCTGGGCTTCTGGGTGAGACCATAGCTAGAAGGACACTATTTACCCTTGATTTAAATCACCCAGAAAAGCAGACACCACCACATACACCATTATAAAGCAATCTTCATATTTCTCCTTCCTGTGAGTTTGGCTGCCAGCTGGGCTGATGGAGAGATGTGAGCCAGGTGACAGTGGAAGTCAGAGCAGCCTCTCTGCTCGAAGGATTTCCAGAGGCCAGGTTCCTCAGGCAGCCCCATCAGCACCTGCAGGACCCCTGTCCATGGGACTGTTCACCAGCTGTCTCCTGCAACCTGTGCTCAGCAAAGGTGGTACCAGACAGCAGTTCATATCTGTGAGTTCCTTCTACCTGTGTACTTCCGAATGAAAAATGCTTTACAAAAACTAATTCCCCAAGGTAATGTACATTGTAATAGACACAAGGGGAAGGAAAATGTCTTGCCCTGGTGTTATATTTCCCAGGGAGCTCATCTGTGTCTTTTGAGGCTTAAGAGCAAAGTCAGCATTAGGCTCTTCATACCTTTACATTCCCTCCTGCAGAACCTCCTGCTTACTTTGTTACTTTCAGTGGCTGACTTCAGGCTTTAAAAGAAGTGTACCAGCTTCTCTGGTATGAGGAGAGGAACAGGATGTGAAGTCCAGATCTTACAGGCTTCTTGCTACCTGCAACTTTATTTTTGAACCACTATATTCCTGGAAAGTCATGGATGCACAAAGCACTGATATCTGGCTGCAATCAGTTGTCCACCTCAGCTACACTTTCAGTTTTGGAGTTGATTAGCTTTTTATCTATCATCTTTCATAAATGGTATTACATGACAGGAGGATGTTCAACCTGGCTGAAAGGCTTGTGCTGGGACATCTCCATGCCTCTCTGCTGCTCAAAGGTTGGCATGCACGAGCACGTTGCTGTAACAGATATTGCACACCTGCTGATCCATCCTGCTTGCTCTTGGTTGACAAGCAAGGCGAAGTAATTTGTGCTGGTTTGGCCCACAGTGAAAGAGAAGGCTGCTTTAAAAATTACCTTACATTTGTTACGGTCCATGAGTATGCACAGGAAAGAACAGCACCTCAGACCAGATTATGCATTACAACTTGCTCACCTTCAGCAATTTGTGCAGCCCTGCTCTGACTCCCACAGAATTTTTTCTTAACATCATTAAGTTTAAAAGAGAGAAAAGAAGCAATTATACATATGTATATAGCATATATAGATACCTATGTGGCCTTACTAGTTAGTGTTTTCCTGTAAGCAGGACTTGGGTTGAACGTTGAAAGAATTTATTCATATGCATGGTTTCAGTACAATTACACAAGAATAAGGAAATGTTTCTGTATTTTGCATTGACAAAGAATCACAAAAAGATAGTCTTTTTAAAGCACGACATAATTTTTTATTAATTTGCTTGAAGAATAGTCAAAACTATATTGAAGAATACATAAATGCTATAAGACATGGGGGGACAGAAGAGACCAGTTTTTACTATATATTTGTATTCCTGTTGTCTGTACGATTTCCTGCAGACTTCTCCCACACCATACCACAAGGTGGCAGTTTGATTTTGAAAGTCAGCACCGATGTCACCCAATCCCCAGCTCTGCCAAATACTCTGAACATTGTACTGCGAAACAATAGCTCATCCCTTGGTTAAATAAGTGGCAGCTACAGTATTTACAATATTTATAAGTTAGACTTGAGGCCACCTTCATGGGTGCTGTGCATTCACATACTGTGCCCAGTAAAAAAACACGGTTTCCACATTTAGGATCAATTGTCTAAATTACAGAAATAATGCAAAGGCACATTTTTTTCCAGGGAGACAGTTCCTTCCCCCAACCCTTCCTTGTGCTCCACGCAGTGCCACACAGCACAGGATGAACCACAGGCACACAAACACCTGCACCTCGGGGGACAGGCTGGATCTGCCCCTCAAAAGGGGTTACAGCAGCTCATACATAGCAGGTGTGAAGTTACACAGCAAACAAGAGCAGAGCAGAAAACCTCTTGAGGTGCACTCTGCTTCCCACTTCAGGTGATGAGATCTTTGTCCCTGGCTTTAGCTGGGCTGCTGGGGTCCCTCTCCATCAGCATCACCACAGGCTTATTCTAAAGTTCACTGAAGTCAAGGGAATATTTCCACTGCTTTCAGTGGGTCATGCCCTTTATCAGGTTGGGCACCAAGCAGCTGAGCTGAGCAGGGGATAGCTGCCTGGAGGTGAGTGTGTGAGCACCATTGGGGTGGTGTTATGAGAAGGATGATGGCACAGGAGTGTGAATGAAAATCAGAGCTGGGACTGCTCATAAGAAGATAAAGACAGGCTTAAGCAGAGAATGAGAAAAGACATACTGCCAGACTGTGCAGAGCACGATTCCTGAGGAGCCAGCACCCCTTCACTGACACTTGCTGATGTAAAGCAGTAATCTGTTGGCAGCCACATAATTCACAGAAGTGCTGGGAACAGCTTGAAGGGAATTTGGAGGTGAAAACCAACATCCTGAACTCTATGCTGGGGCAGGCAGCAAGCCAGCAAAAGGAGAAATGCTCCCAAAGAATGGTGGTGATGCAAGCAGAAGCATGGGGCTGCTCCAAATTGTGATGGTGAACATCCTGGCAGTCCCTTGGCAGTCCCTTTGGCAGTCCCTTTGGCAGTCCCTTTGGCAGTCCCTTGGCAGTCCCTTGGCAGTCCCGGCCAGCCAGCCTGTGCTGTAGCAACCCTGTTTCTGTGGCAGCGCCACAGGGTGTGGAGAGCAGCAGTGGATGCAGGGTCACCCACACAGGTGGTGTCACAAAGGTTCTCCTCTGTCCAGCTGCAGAGGGAGCTGCCCTGCAGCCGTGTCCCAGCACGCCTGGCCAGGGAGGGTGGTGGCCAGCTAATGGGGGTCACTTCAACAGCAGGAGCACACCTCCTGTTCTGCTCTGGAGCCTTACATATTAAGGAGGGAAGTGCACTGGATGTCAGATCTGTGAGCCTGAAGCAAAAAGCAGATCCTTGAGTTAATCCCACACTTTGATGTCTACTGAACAGTTCATGCTTGTAGAAATGCTGCTGCAGTAGTGATCACAGCCCCTCACTCTGCCCTGGCCCTTTCAGCATCTCAGCATCAGACCAAGTCTGACTCAGTGGGCAATATTACCTCATATATCCCTTGTGCTGCCAAGTGTATCCCTTGTTTCTGAACTGGATTAAGCCCAGCTCTCTTATTCATCTAGCACATTTTTTTCTAATATTAATATTGATTTTTTTTTTCACTGCTGCACATCTTTCTGCCAGCTTTAGCCATCATTATATTTTATCTGATTTTCTTTTTCCAGGATGCTGACTCTGGGTGTGAAGATTACATAAATCATCCCCATGCTTCTTGCTTTATTTCTTATTAGGACAAAAGCACTTTAGCTCTGCCAGGTGCAAACTATCTTCTTCAGGTGCTCAGCTGTAAATCATCTTTCGAGAAAAATCATCTCTGTAAATTCATCCCTGTGATGGTTAACCTGAAACCTTCTTAGTATCATTGGTTTTGAATCCTCTGTTTGTTCTTTGTTATATTATTTCATTTTTGTTCTCATTTGCAAGGGATGGAAATGGTCTCAGATACTGAAAGGCATTTAGACATAAACTTCCCAAGCCAGTGAAATACAGCTCCTAGGAACTGGGAACCTGTGTGCCCAGGAGAGCTGGGACCTTGCAGCTTTATTTTCAGTAAAGCAAGAGTCATTTAGAAATATGGAGCAACTGATGAGCTTAAGCCTTAAGGTACACACATGTTACAAAATCAAATGCTGATGGAAAAAATCCAGAATTTTGTTCTCATGGAGGTTCTTGTCTTCACGATAAAAACTTAGCCCACCCTTCCACAGTTTTTTTTATTTTTTTATTTTTCTGCCTGCTCTTTCCATCTTCAGCCCTAGGGATCCATTTCCATTGTTCCAGTTCCTGCTATCCGTGTATTTATTGGCATGTTCAGAAACTCAGAGTTGGATTAGCCATTGATATTGGAGGGGTGGTGTTAAATTTAGGGTATTTTACATTAAAGAATAGTATTTCAAAAACTACTACTAAGTAAATTATTAGTTTATTGACCTATAAAAAGTATGTGCAAAATGCACTTGTTCTACAAAACCATTATAAGAAATACCATGGATACCAAACCAGAAT